GGCCCAAGCATCCCTCCCTCTGGCTCACTTGGGTTGTCCTGTTTGGTGTAACTGATCCAACCTGCCACTATTTTATTGCTTTGCAGAAGAATATCTACTCAGGAGTGCCATGGGTTGTAGAACTAGCCCGAGGGATGCTGTGCAGCCAGACAAACCTGTTCTGGCGGATGGGTGGATTTGGGGAGAGGGAGAATATTTCCAGAAGCAGAATGATTTGCTTTGGTTCTTCTAGGAACCTACAGGTATGAGATCCCACAGCTCTGAGCTGGGATTCCTTTAAGGCAAGGCAGCAGCAAGTTCTGCAGGAAAAGGTAGAGCTTGGTTTACAAGTTGGATCTGACCGAACCTTTTGTGATAGATAAGGGTTGTTGGTAATGTAGGCACCTCGTGTGTGGAAGAACCTGCACTCGTTCACACACTGGGCAGGCAGGGAATGCAACCACAGCAAGGAGAGATTTCATGTAAAAGGGAGCAGAGCAAGGAGGTTTCAAAATCYCAAGGCTCTTTGGAGCAGGAGTTGTGTCAAGTCATGTAAAATAAGAAACAGAAAGTCAAACAGAAGCCTTGACAACTCTCAGGGATTCTTCCTGATCTGATTGATCACAGCCAGATGGGGTCCAGGTTCCATGACTCAGMTCACATSCAGGGAGGTGGCTGTGTCTGACCTTCTGTCTGTCTTCTCATGTCCTCGTACCCAGCTGGGCTCTGAATGCAGGCAGCATGGTTTCAGTGAATAAGGGGCATTCAGAGCCTGTGGGTGAGGATTTTACTATGCTCATGAGTACAAAGTTCAAACAAAGTTGTTCTTTGTGTTCTTTGGCCTTTTAGTTTGATTTATAGTGTCCTCCTGCCTTCTCAGTTCATAGATCTTGGTTACTGCAGGTTTGGTTATTCCTTCATCATTCATCATTCCTTCATTTTTCATAATTTCTTTTATTTGTCCTCGTATTTGTCCTGCACTGCTTCAGTGGTTCTGTGCATTTTTAACTTCTATCCTTCTCATTCATACTTTATTTTGAAAATGGGGAGCTGGATTTGTAAGCAGGTGGCCTGAGTCTGCATCATGTCTGGGATACAGCAGGGCTTATCCAACTCCTGCTGCACTGAGGGAACCCTGAGACCTTGTGATGTGTTTACAAGTGTGGGTGTTAGATGAGGCATTGAGACCTGCTAGCACAGGCTGTCCCAACACTGGGGGTCCCGTCAGACACACCTCATGCCAGCCACAGAACCATGGCCACTGCAGAGCGCAAGTTCAGCCATGGGGCCCAATTTTCAAGAAGGGCAAGAARRAGTACCCCAGAAACTACAGATCTGTCAGTGTCACTTCAGTGCCTGGTAAAGTTATGGAGAAGATTCTGGGAGGTATTGAAAAGCACCTGAAAGATGACACAGCCACTGGTCACAGCCACCATGGCTTCATGAGAGGAATTTGCTTATCAAACCTGAAAGGAAAGAGAAGGGAG